CTGTGATCAATCAGACCTCGTACACTCCTGCAGTGGCGGGTTCCACCGGCTACCACCAAAACGCGTACCATCCATATTTCATTCAGCCGCAGGCCGCCGCATGAATCTCGCCATCTGAACAATCCCTTGTTGACTTGTGTCCCTCCTAACTTTGTGGCAGTTTGACATACTTAACTGTACAGTAGTTGTGCCAAAGCACATGATAACTGTTGCTTTTCTTGTTGTTGCATCCATTAGAAAATAAAAACTCATCCCATGGCCTGATGTGTGATCATTCTCTAATGGTGGTTTCAAGAGAGCGCATGCTTTTTACAAGTGTAGACGCGACTTGGTGGCTGTCACGAAGTGACGTCACTGTTTGATGTTATTGCGTAGCAGCAGATTGGCATAAATACGTCAAATCTGGCTAAGTTGATGTGGGTTGTAGCCAGGTCAGCTTGTGTTGACACAGCTTTGTCAGGACTAGCTATTTTCGTAATTAGATCATGCAACGGGAATTTCTGTGAAAAATTCAGCTTTGGCGGAGTCCCAACACGGCCATTTCGATGTCATGCCAATTTAAAACTTTTCTTTCTTGTACAATAAACTACAACAGTTCCATTGCCTCCTTTAAATGTCTGCATTTGCATATTTACGTTCATGCAGAAATTTTCCGTATTCAATAGGCATGTCATATGTCAGGAATTGATCCTTACAAATATGAATAATGGCAGTGCCGGGGTGGACTCGTCTCTGAGGTATACCCAGTACATATGGCGACAATATACAACAGGTCTGATACAACAATATACAATAACTGTGATAAGGCAGATCAAGCGAAGCAAACTGATGCGATGCGTGGTCCATCCAAGAAAGACCAAAGTTGCGCTGAAGATTAGATTCCATTTCACAAACCGGGGCAAAACAGCTTCGATTTGTGTTTTGCCTAGTCTTGTTGATGCTACGGTCTACGTAGCGAAACGCATCAGTTGTACTATCAGCAGTGTTTGGAGCCTTAACCATGAATCGTTCATAAATTTGTCTTCAAACACTTTCGTGTTTCCTGTTTTCCGCTTGTTATCATCTACGTAAAAGAAGTGAAAAAATCTATCCTTGTTTATCCTCTACACCTAAGAAGATTT